TGGATAGATAGCTCCAATTAACTTCGTATAGCCGACGTGATATCATGTCTTGTCCGAAGATTTGCAAATCTGGTATCACCTCCGCGTCCTGCGAAAGCTCAGCGAATAAACGAATGTTTTCACGAAAACGCTGAGAAAACTTTAGAACTCTTTTATCCCGTCGCTTTGTCATGTTCCATAATTCATTGTCCAGACCTTCGCTAACATCTTCTGGTACTGAGAGCAGTCCCACAGCGGTTAAGAATCGGTCAAAAGTTCAACTATTGATTCTTGATTCAATCACCAGGAGGTATACGTCGTATGCGAGGTCCCCCTCAATCAGAGCTATAAGGTTACGGCTCTTTTGCTCATCTTTCCACCCTTTCATCTTGGCAAGGCTTTGAAAGTCACAACTCCACTTGAGACAGTCCCGCGGACTTCCGCCTTTTAACCTGTTCATTTTAACTTGCATTTTATCAGCCGGGATTCCGTTTTGGGGTGGTGAGATCACCACCGTATAAGTGACGTAGTCGTTTTCATCGTATCTACCCATGATAATATTGTTTTGCTTACGGGTTTAATTCTCTTGAGCTCAAATTTGAAATGTCAAAATGACACGCCTTTGGCTGGCAGAGGGGCAATCGGCTCCGAGAGCTTGCTGGAGAGGCTTTTGGAGATGTAGGTAAAAATGAGAATGAACTAATTAAAAAACTATAAGTCCTATCGTGCTTAACCTAACGTGCTGTCATAACCTGTCAACAGTGGCATGTCAGATACCATCTTTCATACCAACTGGCATGTCAGCCACTACGTGCTACTGGCACGCGCATCCTGCACAAGAGAGGAAACGGTTAGACCGTCTTACCTGGTGGGGGTGGTCGACGCCGAAACGTCAACACAACTTTGCCGGTCACCGAAGCGAACCGTGCAACGAACTTAGAAACATGCACTAGACTGCGTCGCGGAAACTACAAATAGTCTTTTTGTGCACAGTTGGTGTTATGAGATAATTTTGAGATGATTTAGATATAAAAGATGTAACTCAATATAAATCTAACTACCAATTGAATAACTAATGCAAAAATTATATGTGCGTCTCTTTGAAAGCGCATCTCTACGTGGCGAGCTGCAATATAATAAAGATTGCTGATGACGTAACGGGGTGAGCCCATTACATAATATTGACACTTATATGAAGTGTCAGTAAAATATTATTATAACTAATAATATTTGACAATATTATCGTTTTCTATAATATCGTCCCTTTATCTCCTTGAAGTTGGTGATGCCCTCTAATTAGTTGATATGGGCCAACATATCAACCACCGCGCTGACCAATGACCGATGGACGCGCGCAATGAGTGGAGGGCAAGTTGTCAACATACATAGTTGTAGTTTAATATAGTTAACATAGGTTATAACAAATTAGTTTTATTAGATAGTTAGCTATATTATATACAGTTCTCTTTTCCTCTACTTCTAAGCGTGTCATTTAATAGTAAAGCTTCCTCTGCCTCTTGTGTAAAAGAAGTTTTGAGGCACCTGCTTTCACTGTCATCAGTGAAGGTAGACTAAACTGTTGTCAGTATAGTCGGAGGGCGCCCCATTACATCGATTAGCAAGATACTCCAAAAGTGGGCTAATCTAGAGACTATGGATCCAAGCAGTCTAAATGCGAAGTGCCAGCGGCTGGTGCAACATCCTACACTAAAAGAAGCTTTGGCTCTTTGGATCCTGCAGTGTCAACACCGCAAGGTGATTATCACTGGGAACTCATTTTTGCGAAGGCCCAGCGACTTGCCCGATTGCTTGAAATTCTAAAAGACGCCATCATTTTCTCGCACGGATGGCTTTAACATTCCAACAACGTCACAAGCTTAGCGCTATTCGCATACACGGTGAATGGGGTTCGGTGGACGTAGAGGCTTTTAATGAAACTCTGCCTGTTCTGAAGAAGGTCATTGCCGAGTACGTTCTGTGTGATATTTACAACATAAATAAAACGGTAACTTTTCCTATCTGATTTTTTTCTGTCATGGAGTCTAATCAAAAATTAATCAGGACTGTTCTACAGCATGACACCTGACGGGGCTATTGCTCAGCAAGATTTTGAAGGACACAAGAGAAAAAATATGTAAATTGTTAGATGTCTAATTGTTATTTGCTAACACAGTGTATGCGCTGACATCATTTGCAGACGCGAATTTTTATTGCGCTCACTGCAAATACCGATGGATCTGACAACCTACAGCCTGTCTTTATCGGAAAAGCAAAGAATCCCCGGTGCTTTAAGAAGAAGCCGGACCAAGCACTTGTTTTTCCTTACCAAACAACACAAAGGCTTAGATGACGGGCGTGATCTTCCAGAAATGGCTCGCAAATGTGGACAAAACAATGAAGGTGCGTGGTTAGCTAAAATAAATGACTTCTATTCTCTATTGATTCTAATATTAATTTTAATCAGAGCAACAACAACAAAATTCTTTTTTGTTCGACAATGCTCCGTCGCATATCACAGATGGCCTGAAATTTACAAATGTCAAGGTACATCTGCTTCCCCCAAATACGACATTGTGGTAAAGTCTATTAAAGAATTTGGGCTAAGTCCATTTTCTCAATAAATCCAGAGCCGAGTTATTGGAAATTTTCTCGCCAACGGTCGGATCCCAATCTCATAACGGTTGGATCCCTTTCCCTATTATTTCACTTACTAAAATGACTTATTGGGTGTGATGAAGTCGATCTCAATTCACGGACGATCGAATGGAAAAGTACCGTTGATCCAAGATCGTTTATTTGATTCTTCAATAAAACGAATGAAGAAGGGATCAATGGTATCGAAGACGATGATGATATGGATTGAAACATACTTAAGGTGAAAATACATGGCATGGATCACAACTCCGAAATATATTTGATTATCATGGAATAGATCACCGTTTGGATTATACTTGATTCCAGTATCGGTTAATTCAAATGTATGGATTGAATTTGTACGGATTATAAGTGAATGTGGAATAGTGGAACTGCACAAGGTGTGGGAAAGCGACTGTGGAGAAGCGAAGGAGCAATATTTCGCGAAGTGTGGATCGCCCAATATTAGTTGTGTTTACACCTTGTAGATCGACCGCGATCCGTCGACCGAGATCCGTCATCGCGATCCGTCGACCGAGATCCGTCATCGCGATCCCTCGATCGCGATCCGTCATCGCGATTTGTCATCGCGATCTGTCATCGCGATCAGACGTAGCGATCTATCATCGCGATCCGTCATAGTGATCCGTCATCGCAATCTGTCATAGCGATCCGTCGACCGCGATCCGTCATAGCGATCCGTCATAGCGATCCGTCGACCGCGATCTGCCATCGCGATCCGTCGATCGATCCGACATATGTGGTCCACACATTGAGATCTGATTTTTTTCCGAAAGGGAAACACGTGGCAGTAGATCCTAGTCTACAGATAGGCAGAATCATAGGTTTAGGTATGTGATTGGTTAACATTAAACAGAGTTCGATTTTACTTCGAAGACACGAAAGCTTCTTTTCCGGGTGGGATAATTTTGGCCCCCCCGACGACTCAAGAGCATCTGCGTCGCTACGACACAAGTGATATCCCTGGATTGTTTGACCAGGGATTACAAGAACTCTCAAAACAAACAACTCCCCCTGCGATTGGACGCAGCATAACAAGAAAAGAACAAGGTACAAGATCGCGAGACGGCTCAAGTGGTCAGAATCTCAAGTGTATCAGGTGGATCAAGTATCTACATTTTTGTACAAGGCGATCTCAAGAGAGATCAGGGTGACTCGGATAGAGCACCTACAAGAACCCCTCGACCGCGTGAAGATTTCCGCACGGTCGACCCCCAACGTATCCCGAACACGGTTAAGTTCAGCATCGGCTCGAGTCCACCGAGAAGAGTGCTACCCGCCCTACCGACGGGTACACAAGGTGAGGAAGGCTTTATACACAGAATCGGGGTAGCCCCTCCGATAGTCGGTTGTCTGGGCGCCAGTGGAAAGTCGGGATCACATCAGATATTTTGTGAAACCCACTCCACCACAACATCCAAGATTCAGCCGGTGGATGCCGGCATCATCGCAGAATATAAGCGGCGGTATCGCCTCTACCATCTGCAAAACGCAATCGATTGTGACGAGCGTGGGAAGGCCGGAAATATATACAAAGTCGACCAAATTACTGCCATGCGCTGGTCGGTGGCTGCCTGGAACGAGATCTCGGTTATTACCATTGCCAACTGCCTTAATCACACGGGGCTGTTTTCAGATCTTCCCGTCATTTGAACTGCTGTAGATGTGTAGAGAAACAGTGATGGCGCGAAGTAGGTTAGAAAGGCGGAATTTGAGCTGGAGCAAGAGCTGAGAGACCAGCTAGAGCAGCTGTGTGTCCAGGATTCCATGACGATTTCGGAGCTTCTCAATCCCATCGATGAGAATGAGACTGCTCAGCCGGAGCTGACCGAGAACGAGATTATGGAAGAGGAAAAGGAGGCTCAGGGTGAAAACAGTGATGACGTGGCCATAGTCGCAGAAAAGTTCACCTGAACCGAAAAGATTAATCTCCTTCGTGACACGTGCTCCCTGCTCGATGTATTTCAGGAAAGTCACCAAGCTGCTTATGGAGTCCTCCGCGACCTTTAACTTGACACCCAAACTGCCCTCGACATGTGGTTCAAGTAGGTTTCCTCGTCCAAAATACAAAAATGCTCATTTTATAAAGTTATATTGCCCTGCCTGATTATAGCTTATAACTTATAACTTATAACTAGCGACCATAGAATGAGCTCGGTGGGCACGAAATTTGATAATTAACCAAAGGTAATAACTTATCGGAGGATAAGTCATTGGAGGGAGAGAGGTCTGTAGATGCGTCTTACAACTAGGCTACACTACATATCTCAGCATTACTAATAGTATTGATGAGAGATGCAAAATAGACTCGTACATTACACGTAGCATTTCTAATCTCATTTGTTTATTTTCCAACGAATCAACTAATGTCCACGTTAAAAACAGCTCACATTCGCTTCACTACATTCCTGCGTCGCCAGGCCTGGGATTTCCGTCACGTTCAATCCAATTGGCCTTCATTTGTTCGACTGATATTGTTTGGACTAGGGGTTTTGACTCTGGGACTCTGGGTCTTTCCTCTACACCGGACAAAATTTCATGGCTCGAACGCTTTACGATGGGGCGTCAACAATGACGTCGTCATTTTAACTGGTCAAAACCTGCAACGGTCTTTACCACTTGGCTACATATACCCCAATGGAGCTAGTAACAAGTTCCAATGCGACTTGCCAGCACTTCGACATCAATGTGAGCTGGACCGAGTCGACGGTTGCAAAGGTTACCCGCAGCTATTCCCGTCTGCAGCTTTGTTCGACAATTGGAATCCTGAGAATACGGCACAAATACCTCAAGCCATTTTTGACAGTATCTGCCATTTCAACGTCTCCGATTCGGTGCGTAGTGGCAAGTATATTCATCTTGTATAAGTTCCTGTCAAGGCTGATTGTTTGTTTTGTGTAGTATGAGCTCCGTCTTGCTCAAATGTTTCGCGAGATGGACGTGCCGTTCGTAGCTTATGGAGTACCGGAGCTAATGGCAGCTGCAGAGCGGTGGACGGACGACTATTTGACAAAGCAATTGAACCCGAAAACGCTGTACAACGTGAACGTCGCTAATGGCAGCCACTATATGTATGCTACAAAGAAGAATCAACTCACGGGCGAGAAACCTACGTACGAATCCCGACGGATGACATACCCACAGTTTGTGAAGGCACTGAATGACGTCAAGTTGCTTCATGAGGCTGGAGAACCCCATAAGTACTATTACCTCATGCTCGGCAAAAACGACTTTATGAAAAATGCAGCATTCGTCTATGAAGAGCTTCAGTTTTTGAACCCGTCGTTATCTGAGCATGATCCGCGATTCGGCGACCTTTTTATTCGTGACATTGCTGTTGCCAAGGAGAAGGGCATGCGCTGTCGTCTTGGAATGCGAGGCATTATTGCCGAGGGTCATTACGATAACGATTTGAATTATGTCTCCATCATCCGTGGAACCAAACGCTATGTGATCTCACCGCCCAGTGCCTGTAAATGCCAAGGGCTCATAACTCAGGGACAATCTGCGCGTCACACATCGTATAATTGGTCGGACATTAATGCTCTGCCGGAGGATGCGCGCAATTGCCCGGCAGCGGAAGTGGCGCTCACTGCTGGTGAAGTTTTGTATATTCCGTCGTTATGGTATCATCACATCGTTTCGATAGACACTAGCATCCAGTGCAATCTGCGCTCCGGCGGTAAGGTTCGTGACGAAGCAAACAGCTTTATCCGTGAATGCATGAAATCATGATAGCTCTGTAGCCATAGCGGCTCATAGCGAGGTTGTTAGCAAAGTCTCTGATATCCGTGCAAGAAAAATGAGTTGATATGGAAAATGTCATTAGTCTTTCAAAACGACTTAAGTACTTTGCATATCACTCACAAGTTTTGTACTGACTGGTGTTGTCGCTGATTGCCGAGATCAAACTTAATTCCAATTCGTTTGTGAAGACGCCGTAAGATTTTTAAAGGTTGTTTGTAAGATCTGTCAAACATTTGGAAGTAAAGCAAATCATCCATTGAGCTGCTTCACACTCGTTTGCTTTTGATGCTTGCATCAAGTTGGGCTCATTCAAATGAGGTCGTCGCAAGCAATCTCCTAGTTGCCTTCAACCCTGTGCAAGGTAAAGTTCTTCGCCCCATATCGCCATAGTCGCGGCTCAAGTGAGTGCAAATGGTGTTTGCTACGATCCGGGTTATTCCGCCAGCAGCACCATGCAGGCTAAAAGTATTAAAGCCGATATGGCTGTCATCAAACAAAGAAGTACCACGTACAAACACGTGCATTTTCCAGCTCGGCAATACAAACTTCGGTCTTGCCATTGCCAGCGCCAACTTTAAAAAAAAAGTTGCTCTTGGCATCCGTAGCCTCAGTGCGACGCCGCCATCTCGGCTGGTCGGATCTCGTACTTCACTTGCATAACCTTTCAATGAGAGGATAATTTCACACTTATGTCGCATGACTGACGCCGGCTCGAGCATGGAGTTGCTTAATAATACATAGGCAGTATGAGTCACTTCCCACGGGCTCTTTACGATCTTCAAGGTCACGATCGAGCGTTGAATTATTTTACTTAACATGCGTTAGCTTTCTACGCAGTCATTCCCATTCGGAAAAAACGACTCGCGGAGCTCGATGGCACAGGTGCGATTGAAGTTGGCACTGGTGGGTGAAATTGTTCGATATCTTCGCACAGAAGATCAATGAGAGCATCCTTTGACAACTTCTCATCAGCCAAATCAAACGAAAAGTCAAATGACCGAGAGACCACCAGGTCGTTCTCGTCTAGGAATGGGGCCAAATACGGGTGCCGTAATGCAGCCTCGACCGAAATGCGCTTCTCCGGATTAAAGAGCAGCATCTTGCTTAATAGATCGATCGCATCCGAGCTCACTGAGTGATCAACACCAACCTCAGCAAATACGTCCCGCCATTTCTTTGGTTTGGAGATTGCTAGCTTTGTAAGGAAACGCAAAGCCTTCGTGTTCTTCACAAAACCAATGTCTTCTTGTTTTGGGGTGCCGAGAAACTTAATTATGAGCTTAAGCTGATGTAAATAGTCATTTCCAGGGAATAATGGCTCGCGCAGAAGCATTTCTGCAAAGATACAGCCCGCCGCCCAAACATCGATAGCTGTCGTGTAATTTAGGCAGTTCAACATAATCTCTGGCGCTCGATACCACCGCGTCACGACGTACTCTGTTAGTTCGCCTAATTCGGAGACATCCTGCTGTCCTTCGTTATATGATCCAACTCCTCCACGAGCTAGCCCAAAGTCGCACACTTTAAGATCACAATTCGCATTCAACAATATATTACTGGGCTTCACGTCACGGTGCAGGACGCCTGCCGAGTGAATATGATGCAGCGCGCAGAGCATTTGGTACAAAAAGTACTTGACGTGGTCGTCTGACATGGGTTGCATGGAGTAAATGACCTGGTGCAGATCTGTCTCCATAAGCTCTGTGATAATATACATATCATCAAAATGTTTGCGAGAAGGAGGAGGCGATAAATCTAGCAGCCGAGTAATGTTCTTATGTTCGAAGTGACCTAACAGCCGAACCTCGCGCAAAATCCGCTTTGCATCCACAAGGTCTTCAAAAATATTTGTGATTTTTTTGACAGCCAAGTGGTCACCGCCGTTAACAACGTCCTTAACTGCAATCACAGCGCCGTAAGCTCCATTTCCAATCGGCTTGACCAGTTCATAACGCGTATCCAGGGTAAATACCTGTCCGTTTGCGTTAAAAGAGTGCGTCTGTGGTCGCAACATTGAGAATAAACTATTACTGCTGCTAGTGGCTCCAAAGGCTGCGCGAGGAAGCCGTCCATTTCCGGCTGCTATTGCATCACTTGATTTCGAGCTGGCTTTCGTGTATTCGTCTTCCATCCCTATGCTTTGGTAAGGAGAGATCCCTTTTCCTGCCAAAACAGCGCTTTTGTACTGCGCCACAGAGCTTTGCGTGGCAAGATCGCCCGCGACAAAGTCCTCTTCAGAATCATCGCCATCCTGGTTGCTTTTGTAATTGTTTTCTGCCTTCTCGCCCACTGCATTATTATCGCAATATACGTCCTGAAACACTATCGACTTCTTCACCCGATAATCGGGCGTGCAGCAATAACCCCCAACTGTCTGAGCTGTCAATTTTTCCATCGCAACGACCGGAAGTACACTCGTTGTTGTCTGCACATTGCACGACGCCGATTTTAATTTGTCCTCACGTGCGACATCTTGTTTCGCAGCTCGAATCTCTTCGGCCGGAAATTCGCTTTCACTATGATTGTTGTTACTGCATTCACTACTCGTACAGCTAAGCGCACCACCGTTTTCTTTACGGTCTCTGGCGACGAATACACGTGACTTCTGCCCTTCTTGTACATATATTGGCATGATCTTAGCAGGTTCCATCCAGGCTGTCAACGTCTCGTTTCGTCGATACTGCGTCTCCTCTGTCTCTGCAAAAAGTCTGCTTATACACGCATTGAGTGTATGCAGCCACTTGACATGTGTCCGTTCGTCCACTGAAGCCAGTCGAATCACCTTTGAGCCGCATCTCTCCTTCTCGCTCTCTTTACTGTCAATGTCCGTACGTTGTTCACACGTCGCCAACTGCAGCTCCAGCACGTGTTGCATCTGTTGATGAGTCTTTATATCCATGACCAAATCATTCCGAGACAATGTGATAATCGTCATCAAGTGACCAGGTTTTCTGCTTTCACTCAAGTATTGAAACTGTCGTAAGATAAACCTCCCACCCTTGCTCTCCATACTTTGTTCCAGTATAAAATAACTGGGTTTAACATGCCATGAATTTGGCTCTAAAAGCTCAGTAAACACGCCATCTATCAACACTTGTAACGTCTCCGATGGTGTCATGTGGACCACCTCTTGTGAGTTCCGACCGCTGCGCTGTAAACTGAGCGAACGTATGAGCGTCCGCATGGGCGAATCCACGTGTGTCTTTGTCTCTTCTTCTTCTCCATACAAAAGACGAGTCGAAACAGCGTCGTTGTCTAGCGTCAGAGGTCGTAAAGTCGATGGAGAATGCTCCTTGCGTCGGAATAGACGCGCTAATAACGTTTGTGTCCGTAGGTTGTTGTTCTTATTTAAATCATTTGATGAGACGTGACGTGGACGAGACGAAAGAGACGAAGGTGCTGAGAAAGGAAAAGAGTGAGCGAATTCTTGGCGTGTCATGATGACAAGAGGATCAAATGTGTCCCATTCAAGATATTAGTTAGACCTGAAGAGACGTAAAAGTGTTTTTTGGGACGGGTGAAATCGAATAGGAATGAGTTGCAATGGGTTTTATTATGTTTTACAGGATTGACACAAAATCTACTCTGGTCATGATCAAATGTCCCACTTGGATTGCAGTTTTAACATTTGAGCATTCAATCAGGCTCGTCGATTCTTAAGTAGCAATAATCTTAGGCCCACGTTTACTTCATTGAAGTTGCTATCGAATAACGACAGGCACATACGCACTTAAGTCGAGTCTAGCGTCCGAAAAATCGCCTCTAGCGCACACGCGGTTCTTTACACTTACCGCCGTACTAATCTAAGCGGTTGTTGATGCTGTCGTCAGAAACTGCTTCAGTACGTATCCATTGGCCGCATGCAGCTCGAACACTTCAAATATTGACGCGTTCATCTTAACCTGGTGGAGAATCGCCATCGTATCATTAAATTTGATGCAATCTTCTTCCTTCTCACTTTCTCATTCTTCTGTCTTAATACTTTTTTTTGCACGGCGGGACACTTCCGACAGGATCAATCCGTTGATCAAGTCCTGGATAGCATCTTATGTGTACTCTAAATCGTGTGGCTAGACTGCTCTCGCTCTCGGAACAATCATGTTCAGGGAACAGCATACACTTGACTGGATTCCTGTTACCACTGCACTATAGTCTTATCGAGCCATCATGACATACTCTTTAAGTCCTTCATCACCTCGTAGTCGACTTGCTCTTCTCTTTAATTCAGATCTCGGGGTCCAAATTGCTCCAATTTGCCCAGACGCACTCACTGAACAAAAAGAATCTGGTTGAATGCAACTGTATAGAAAGAACCCGTACTGGATCTCAACGAGGTCGTAAGGGAGTTCTCTTCGTGGGACCGGGCTAAAGCTCAGCGAGGGGGCCAGCGATGCGTAGGTAGCCTTAATGAAATCTAAATTATTTGATATGCAGGATGATTCGATCCATTGTTGACGTGCCTTGCAACTAAAATCTCCTGCAAACCGCTTCCTTTCAAGTCGCGCACTGCGCTGCCTCCTGTAGCGCACGCAGTTAGGAGAAATCCTGCCTTTTTTACCTTGACCCCACTATGGGCAAACCAAGATGGGGGTCGTCTCGTCTCTGTCCATTGTCACCCTTTTTAGCAAGATATCATTTCTATGGCTGCGTTAGAAATAAATTGTTTCGTAGTAAACGGCCTTTTTCTTCCCCCGCCCTTCAACGTCTTGAATACCAGTCCTAATTTCTAATTGCATCTTTTCCCCCACCGCCTACTCCCTCTCACCAGTATCTTATCATTCATTGGTCAATACTCGTTTCTATCGTGATTTACATTCATTCCGACATTTGCCAAGAAACGCCCGCAATGGGTCCGCGATTAAGCGTGTCACGTGAGAGCGACGTCATGAACGAAGAAGAAGAAGAAGAAGAAGAAGCGATTCTTCCCGTCTCTTCTTCTTCTCCATCTTCATCCACTGATCTCGATCGTGTGCCAATAAAACGTCCTTCTATTATCGCTCAAGAAGAACACGACGACTCCGTCCCACTAAATGATGTGGTAGACAACACAATTTCCATACTAAACCAAGAATTATCCACCAAGCAACGATCAAGTGATGACGATGACGACGTGGATGAATTGGGGTTCCCGTCTATTGACGTCTTTCCTTCTCCACCTCGTACAACTGTCAAGACAAATGAAGGACCTTTACTCACAAGACGGAGTTCCATGTCACGCACTCCTGCAGCACCAAAATTATCACGTTATCGACCTTCTATGGACATTCCCACGTCTCCTCCTTCTGCTGATTATCAGTCCAGTTCTGACTCAAGATCACTGGATTCGAGCTCTTCAGACGAAGAACTTGTCGGCAGTGGGGAAGAGTTTGTTAGTGACTGGCTTGATGAGCCTGAAGACGCCATTTTGTCACCTTTAGCGCTGCCAAAACGTGCTCGACATGCAAGTGCCTGCTCTTCCGTGTCTTCTCATACAGGGAACAACAGTGTGGCTTTCTCAGCCATGCATAGCAGTGGTGGACGGAACAGTAACAGCAGTCAGCACAGTATGACGGGTTGGGCCTCTTGGCTCAGTTCTCCTGATGACGTAGAAGAAGAAGAGGAAGCAGACGATGATCCTGTAGCCCTTACGCCCTTTTTACGTGACAATATGCCCGTTTATGAGATCATGAGACAGGTGCAACTTTTTCGAAACTTGAGTCAAATGCAACAGGAACAGGTTGTACGAGCTCTTAAACCCGCCAAGTTCTCGGACGGTGAGGTTATTGTGGCTCAGGGAACGCGTGGCTCGCGGTTTTATATGATTGCCAAGGGAGAAGCTGTGGTAACCAAAACTGTTACCACGAGTAGCCATAGCATTACTGGAACGACGTCTTTTAGTGCAGGACAAACACAAGAACGCATGGTCACTCATTTGCGAGCTGGCCACTATTTTGGTGAGCTGGCGCTGATTTACGACGATCCACGCACAGCTACTGTACGCGCAGAGGGTGACGCAGAGCTGTTGTATTTAACACAAGAGGATTTCCAGCACATTGGGCAGGTGCATCTAAGTCTAATGCTGCAACAGGTACCGCTTCTTGCGAGATTGAGTGCACAAGATCAGGATATAGTGCTCAAGTGTTTACGGCCTGCAAATTTCAGCGATGGCGAGTTCATTGTGCACCAAGGAGACGAAGGTACTCGATTCTACATGATTACGCGTGGCGAAGCGATTGTGTCGGAAAAGGCGGTGGGACCCAACAAGAAGCCGTACGAAAAGGAATTGACGCGATTGTACGAGGGTCACGTTTTTGGTGAAATGTCATTAATTTACAGTGAGCCTCGCACTGCTTCGGTGCGTGCGGTGGGTCCTGTCAAGTGTTTGTACCTGAATAAGGAAGACTTTGATAAGTGCCTCCTGTCTGACCATTTCCAGCGCTTTATTCAGGAAGCCTATGTGGAAAAGGCTACACGTCGTGCAATGCGACTACGGCTGCAGCAGCGAGCAAATAGTGCTGCGACTACAGGTTCTTCCACGGGGTCCGGAGCTGAATGTTCGTCTGTGGCGCCACTGGCAGCACCAACATCACCTGTGAAGGCGACGGAAACTAAAAAGCTTGTAAAACATCGGCTTAAAAACGGCGAGGTCGTGGTGAACAAGTATGTGATCAAGGGTGACTTGGGTCGAGGAACGTTTGGCCGCGTTAAACTCTGCGAAAGCCAGGAGGATGGACGAATGTATGCTGTGAAAATCATGCACAAGACTTTTGTTCAGCGTATGGCTGGCAAAGAAGACCAGCTTTACGATGTGCTGCGGCGCGAGGTGGCTATCATGAAGAAGCTTAACCACCGCAATGTGGTGAGGCTTGTGGAGGTCATTGATGACCCTAACAGCCAGAAGATGTATCTCGTGCAAGAATACGTGCAGCACAGTTTAATGGAGGAAGTAACACAAGCACGTCGCCTAATTGAGCCGATTGCTCGGAAGTATATGCGTGACCTCCTTGCCGGGCTTCAGTACTTACACTTTCACAAGGTAATTCACCGCGACATTAAACCGGAGAACATTCTTGTTAGTTCGGACAGTGTGGCCAAAATCGCCGATTTTGGTACAGCGCGTATCATTATGAACGAGACCGAGACAATCTCAGGTGCGAAAGGCACCCCTGCCTTTATGGCCCCGGAGATGTTTGATATCGATGCAACTTATCAGGGTCCTGCCGTGGATGTGTGGTCTCTCGGAGCTACTTTGTATATGATGGTAATTGGACACCCACCGTGGATGGCGGATAACGAGATCCTTTTGGCTGAACGTGTGCAGCGCGTGGAGTTGCGGTTTCCGAAGGACGTGGAACGCACGATGGAACCGCATCTAAAAAATCTTTTGCAGCGCATGCTCACAAAAGATCCCGCTTTGAGAATTACGCTAAAGGAATGCTTTACGCATGATTGGATTACTAAGGAAGGTAGTGACCCGCTTGGCCTGATTACACCAGAGAAAAATCTTACAGTATCAATGGACGAAAGTGAACGCGCTATCGAGAACATACCTGAAAGTATCGACCAGCGGCTGACGGAGAGTCTTGCACAGGCTCATCAGCTGGTGAAAAATCGACAGAAAAGTGTTGGCCCTAGCGTTCCGCGCACGAATAGTGGACGTTACTTTACCGGTACCGCTGTGGTAGGAACATTGGGCTCCCGCATTCCATCAACTGCGTCGAATACATCATCAGTGGCCACCATCGGTAGCACGTCGTCTATTAGCCCGAGTCGCGCATCAACCGAAGAAGTTTCACGCATTATCTGCGCATGGCGCCATCACAAGCGTGTCCAGCTGATGGACGGTCACAAGGAGTTGTCTGAGCGTTCTCGCGAGCTGCTGATTGAGCAGAAGCGAATGACATTTTCGGTGGATCGTGCAAAGGTGACGGAAATCATCCTCCCTGCTACTAAACCTACTGCTCGCAGTCGATATCCAAGTGCGTCGTCTTCCGCATCACTCCGACAAGTGAATGAGCAATCTGTACTGTCGTCATCATCCTCAGTTTCGTCACTTTCTACGTCAGACGGCGATACGCCTTTGTCTAGCTCGCCGAGGACACGTTCGTTTCCAGCTGGACGAAGCGCATCCGTGGATAACTCGCTACTTGTTAAGAAAAGCAGTTTTCAAAGTCGGATGTACAAAGACTCAGGCAATTTGGAAGGTTTTGGGCGTACATCATTCACGTCAGTATCGCAGCTGTCTGAATTCGCAGCCATACCTGTAGAAGATAATCTAGACCGGCGCGGAAGCTTGTCGTCGTCTAGCGAGTCAGGAAGTATTGGATACTCTAGCAACAACCTGACCAATACTGGTTCATCGGATGCAGACTTGATGAAGCGGTCGCTCTCGCGTAAGAGAGATTTTCTCATGGTTACATCGGAGGTGTTCCGTGACAAGGAAGGCGATTATCAAACTCGCAAGATTCTTTTCCAGGCACGTGACGATGACTTCTCGGTGGCTTCACGAGTGCCTACTCATTCAAATTCAGGGCGTGAGTTGGTTTCACCTGGTCGCGCAGGCTCGACGAACTCTTCGTCATCCAGCCAAAATCCGCGAACACTAGGAAGCGCAGGCAAATTAGGTAGCGAAAATAAGCTTTGCAGTACGGGAGGCGGCAGCGTCATGGGCAGCGCCATGAGCAGTGCCATGGGTAGCACAATAGGCAGTGCGAAGGGCAGTGCAAAGGGCAGTGCGATGAGTAGTGCAAAGGGCGGTGCAATGGGCAGTGCAAAGGGTAGTGCGATGAGCAGTGCGATGGGTAGTGCAATGGGCAGTGCAAAGGGCAGTGCAAAGGGTAGAAGCAACACGAGTCGCCATTCCTTAAATGGAAGTGCCAGTTCAATTAGCAGCTCGTCGCAGTCAGTCCTTACTGATGATGGCAACGTGGAAGAATTTGACATGGAAGGTATTGACTGCGTGCAGGTAACGGAGATTGATGACGAGGATGATGATGAGACTGCGAATCGTGGAAGTATGCGTAACAGCAGTGATTCCTCGTCACGTCATTATCACCACCGTGCTAGTGATATTAGCTGCGCAAACAGCAGTCACAGTCACAGTCATACTTCAGGAATGGGAGAGCTTTCTGACGCCGATAGTGACTCGGACGGTTCCGATTACTCTGACGTAGAGTGTGATGTAGACGTCGACGCAACCTTTAGCGACCTCATTGCCGCGCCAAATCAGCTTGATCTTCTCAGCCACGACGATGAGGAAATTGCACCTATCATCATGACTAGGCGTTCAGCCACGTCCATGGTAGGTTCGCCATGTTCATCAATAGATGTGGACATCAGTGGCAAAGCTCTCACTCTTGGCACGCTGGCATCCATGGCTTCTTCTTCCTCCGCAATGTCAATGGGAGCTTCCGTGCCGTTTCTGGACATTGTGCAAGTTTATGTGAGTAGCAAAATTCGCGAAAACCTCACGCTAGCAGTTCGGTCTGGCTATGCCGAGGCGAAAGGAGCTCGATCGTATATGGAAGACCGCAGTATTGGGCAGGCGACTTGCGATCTATCTCGGTATCCAGCTGCGCTAGCGGACAATTATGCCTCATTGGCATATTTTGCGGTATACGACGGCCATAACGGCAGCGACACGGCTGTGAAACTGCAAAAGGAGCTGCACCATCGATTCTTTGCTGAAGGTGCTGGTTTTGTAGAGTCCCCTGTGTCCTGCATCTCGTCGGTCTGTGAGGCATTCGACAATGAAATTTTGGAAAAACAGAATCAGAGCGTACTTCCTAAACGTAAACGTACTATGGCCGCAGAGGAATTGCAACGTTATATCAGGGGCGCAGCCACTGAACCGAGTTTTGTGGAAGACGAGTGCTGCGAGGTTGACGGCAAACTTGTTTGTGGAGAGGAGATGAAAGCTTTGCTGCAACCGATCTCGTTCTCTGGAGCTGCAGGTGTCTTTGCTGTAGTGGCGAAGCGACGTAAGAAGCGTCGACGCGCTTGTGACACTAAGGAAAGTGACACAAAAGCCGAGGCAATTGAAGAAAGTGGCGAAGGGGGCAAGTTGGGAGATGACAAGGAAGTAGAGGAAGATGAGGACCAGCCCACCGTTCTTTATGTAGCCAATGTGGGTGATTGCCGTGCTGTTTTGTGCACTGCGGACGCTGTAGCAGTCGACATGACGACGGACCACAAGGCGTCTTTACCGGCCGAAAAAGCGCGTATCGAGGCTTCAGGTGGGTTCGTGCACAATGGTCGTTTGGATGGTATTTTACAGATCTCACGTGGATTTGGCGACCTGGCACACAAGCAGGATGGTCATTTGGTGGTTACTCCCGACGTCATTGAACACCTGGTTGACCCTTTTGACCAGTTCTTACTGCTTGCTAGTGACGGACTTTTTGACGTCCTTACTTCACAGCAGGCTGTGAACTTTGTGCTGCGTAAGCTTCAGACTCACGGTGACGTCCAGCTAGCAGCCCAGGAGCTTGTGCTTAAATCGCAAGCATACTTTGCTCACGATAATATCAGTGTGGTCATCGTGGCGCTGAATCAGATGGGCGACGCGTGAAATGGATGTCGGTCTCTCTCAATACGTGCACATGTAGAAGAAGATCGAGGACCGACGAAGAAACAAAAACATTAGGGATAATGACTGGATCATTGACATTCGTGACAAGAAAAGGATAATCTAAAAAAATGAGTGAAAAAAGTCGTCAGCTCTGGTTCCCGCGTTTTCGTTAAAGCAGGAAGCTACAGGTATCCCTCCAACAAGTTACAACCAGATTTTGCATATACTGACTTTGCTTAACTGAAAGCATAGAAGCACAAAGATAATGCTTCAAGTACAGTCACTTGTGCTTCTCGACATCGCCGCGTCGTCTTCGATTTTATTGTTGTTTATTATACGTTATCAGTCGTTGTACCGAGCAGCTTTTGGTTTATTAAGTTGGTAACGGAAGCTTATGTCGATCCATTGTCATAAATATTGGAAACCCCTTCACTAACTCTGACACGCAACACATTCCCGTAATCATTTTGAGTTCGCAAGACCCTCTTCAGGTCCGTCTTACACCTGCCTCATCGATACAATTCTTTACAGCGGCCCCGCTTCCATTGGTCGGTTCACACCGTATGCTTCTCGCGAATGTGGACCTCGAGCTTGCGACTGCTGTCCACAATGTCCTCAATGCTAGCAATGCATTGTTTGATCTGACCAGCGTAGCGGCACTCGGGATCGGTCGAGTCCCTGTCTTCTTCTTTCAATGACAGTTGATCCGCGTCCGTACTGGAGTCGGATATGACGCGTTTCACGTTCTGTGAAGTTGGCGAAATGCTGACGGGACGAATTTGTACTTGTAACGGGGGTGTCAACGGTGTCAACATGGAGCAATCTACCCTCGTCTCCGTGTCATCGGACGTCGGGTTACTGGAAGTTCCAGAGCCCTGACGTCGCATCAAAAGGCTATTCGTCACATCCTGCACCTGGTCCGCTGTACAGCACTCTTCCTTTTCATCTGTCAGAGAATCTTGAGGCTGTTTTTCGTTGTTTACAGGCAGTTGATGACTTACGTCCGACTGGAGCGAGAGATGGTTGGCGTCTAAAATCTCAGACATGGGTTCTGTCAATGTCACACTTTGTTGTTTCAAGCTCAGTCGACTATTAATCACACGATCTTCTTCTTCTTTAGGTGCAAACTCTCCCACTTGTAGCAACTTTAGCAGTCGCTCTTTGCTCCGTGGCGTCAATGGACGAGTACTCACTTGCTGCATAAACTCATTCAACTGATATTACAATAGCAAAAACAACATGACAAAAGTCAGGAATAGAAATCAAGTTATTCAATATAGAAAAACACAATTAGGATTAGTATACCAGCACTTGTCGGGCTTCAACGGTCTCAGACTGGAGAGACACCTGACGACTCCACCAAATTTTAGGTGGCAACTTCACAGAAATTGGTGCAGCATTTGGTGCCAGTTTTAGGTGCTTGGCAAAGGACCAAAAGTGTCGAAAACGGATGAGACGGTGGTAGCAAATGCCCTGATAGTTCACAGATGTGCGGTAGACCGTATAAGTCAGTGGGGGTTTCTCAGGATGGCGTGTCTCCGAACCAATAACAGACACACGTAATTGTCCAGTCATATCAATGCTGTTATTACTACAAGATGATGGAGACTCCTCGTACGGCATCCAGAGACACCCCAAACAACGGGAGAAAATGCTACAAAACACAATGGCTACAGTTTTTGTTTGTCTTTGTTTTCGCTTGGTCGCAAATGGTCGAATGACGAGATAATGCAGTTTAATGTTAACTGGGACTTGCATTTACACTTGGTTTGAGTATGGGAATGTCCAGAGCCAGCAACTGAGAACCCCGATTTCTATTCTTAAATTACCACCAATTGGTAGGTAATGATAGTAATGGCGATGACACGTACCATAATCATCTTGTGTTTAATAGTATTAGAAATCGAGTCTACTCTCTATAGTATTACAATTGACTATTTACGCCATAGTTCTTAGAAACTATGGCTAGAGCCACTGAATGGTGTTCGATACTGTATCAAATGAAAGTGGGAGACACGGCATCTGTCATTTTGTAAAAGTGTTATATAATGAAAAATACAATAGCAAAGTAGACAAGAAGATGAAAAAAGTGCAAGACCATTAAGATTGATAAAGTTGGTTGTGTTACTAAGTTCACATGGACAACATCCATCATGGCTCGTTACTTGATCGTTCATGGAAACTCAGTATCACTGTCTTCTTGAATAGTGCTTTGTGTCATTTTCTCACTCGCTAAAAAGCTCAAGTGCTGCAGCATGCCAATGTGTTCTTGATCCACTTCTCGCCTTGGCTTCGTGTCAAGTACCGCGACCGTACCGAGAGCGTGGCCATCGCGCGAGAAAATAGTTGCACCGGCATAGTAGCGAATCTTGACGGCACCCTTGTCACCCTTGACCATCGGGTTCTCACGGAAGCGATCATCGTTCTTGGTGTCCAGTACCACTAGAACACTGGGCTGGCAAATTGTGTGAGCACAAAACGACAGCTCACGAGGCAGCGTCGTGTGTGCCATACCAATGTTTGCCACCAAATGCTGTTCCTCGTCCTCAATGATACTCACATACGCAATCGGGCATTTCATCGTCTTAGCTGCAACTTCGCAATACATGTTGAACTTGCCAGACAGGCCAAGCTCACGGATATTGAGATCGCGCAGTACTGTCAGGCGCTCGTCCTCGTCTAAAGGGTAGGGCGGTTCGGGCCACGGGTTCAGCCACACGCCACTGCTGAGCGTACTGCTGCGATTTCGGTCTGCGGCCGAGCCATTCGACGTCTTTCGGCTCGAGTTGGACGAGTAAGCGCTGCCACCGTCGGGGCGCAAAAAACCAGTCGATCCGGCTGACGTAGGACTGTCTAATGAATGGAATGCCACACAGGACACACATACTCGCATTGACCGGGACTGAATCCGGTGGTACAGAGAGCAGCTGTTGCAAATGACCTCGCCACAGGCTCTGCAGTGGTGTTTACGCTTAAACATGTTGAAGCGCTTGTTACAGATGTGGCAGCTAAAGCGGTCTTCATCGTTGACCCACGAGGTGTGTTGGATCACATCTAGTCTCGGGAGCGCGACTGCACGAGACGATCGAGTGCTTCGAAAGGACGACTTGCGTGAGGGCAGCCGTGACTTTCGCTGGCTATTGGGTCCTAGCATGCCGTCGTGGACACCACCAGTCATACAAGATGCTCGAAGTCCACCCATTGGGGTGATTTTGTCAATAGAATGAGTTTTGCGCAGGGAAATGCGGTGGGACGCACGAGGCATTAGCTGGCTGCTTTGCTCGTCGACGGTATTGAGATTGTGCTTCGGAAAATCGTCGGTATACGTAAATTGGTCATCGGACGAGTAGTCCGATGGCATGTCCGAGATACCAGAGCTTTCAATATCGTGGGAGTTAGAGGTCACTGAGGAGGATGACGAGTCTGAAGAGGCCGTCGAGCTTGCAGTGTACTGTGTCTTCAATGACTGCGTAAACTGCTGTTTACGTTGCAAGTCTGCAAGCTTTCTGGTACGGTCTGCTTCTCTGCGCTTCGCGCGCAGCCTTCGGCGATATCTGAAACGACACTGCAGCATCCGCACAACGCTAGTAAATCGCACATACTTCTTCTGCTGCACCACCGTCCGGATGAAACCCTGAACTTTGCCGGCATTTTTTCTCCGAATCATCATAATCTGGCGACGGCGACGCAATTTCTGATGTTTCTTGTAGCGGTATCGAACTTGCAGTGCCTTCACAGCATGTATATATTTCAAATAGCGTCTGCGTGCGGTCACACACAAAACAGCGTAAAATATTTTAATCATATGACGACGAAGGCGCTGCGAGCGCATTTCTTCAAGGAGTTCGTACGTCCGCTTTTTCATAAACATCTTCGACAATCCCGCTTGAATACCCACTGAAATGCACTTCATGGCAAACGGACACTGGTGAAGTTGTTCACAAGCGCCCTGTGGATTTGCATCGTTTTCCTTTGGAATCACATCAAGCAGGTCTTTCAGTAGTTCCTTCGCCTCGCTGCTAACGATTGTCATTTCCTCGTTCGAGTCCGTATCGGGCAAGCCAAACGAAGTTACTTGCTTTTTTGCTAGCAGAGGATTCTTAGACCTCTTCAAGCTGAAATAGCGGGCAATAAACTCGTCGTGCGGTAAACGGATCGGATATCCTGCTCTTGCCACGCGAACAGCCTCCATCACACCATTGCAGCGCAGCTGATTCAACACACGTTCACGCTCGTAAATGCCTGCTTTGCATAGTTCATTCGGTTTGAGGCAGCGCACGTAATGCGGGTTAGTCTGCTGCAGCGTCTCTAGCAAGGTCGTCAGTTGCTCCTTGAACTGCAGACCAACACTTGCGCCACGGTTCTTGCTGGTTTGTGCCCGTTGACGTATAGATGACTTGGCACGATCACGCGAACCACCAATACCTTCGCACAGCGTACGAGCAAAGCTGTCTTTTTGTGTAGAGTACACGAGCATATCAACCGCCTCTTGGTGAAGAACATCCTTGTTTTTCTCCAAGAATCCATCCGAAGAGTACTCTACATGGCCTGCATAGTGTATAATTGTAAACAAACCACGTGCCCGCTGAATACGAGACGCTTCAAATCGCGGGTGGCTACCGCACGCGCGGTAGAGCTTAGATGCTAACGTTGTGTCACTTCCCTTCGGCATGACACATTCTTCGTCAATAAGCGAGAGAATTCCAGTCGGTCGCTGCGATATCAAGTTTACACAATCCTGATTATCGCAGAACTCAATGTACTTCCAGTCGACACCTTGCGACTCATACTCACGCTGTTCGGCCTTGAATACATAGTCATTAAACTGCTGTTGCAGTGTCTCGTTGGCAAAGTTGATGCAAAGCTGTTCAAACGAATTCTTTGGAAACACTTCAAAACCAAAAATGTCTAGAATGCCGATAGAATGAAGTCCGCCCTTTGCCTTTTGGCTGTCATCCATTTTAAGAAAGTGGTTCATCTTTGTCACCATCCAGTCGAATAGACGACCGTACAGCGCCTTGGCAAGTGCATCACGGGCATTGTTAGCCTGAGCTGAAGAAAGTTTCATGCTCACAAAATCACTACCGGCACGAATTCGGCGCATACTCAGTGCACGCTCCAGCTTCGTAGCGTCAACAGCCATAAGTGAAGCCGCAGCATCACGTGACCAAATACAGCTAGATGCCAGGTCGGACTTGCCGGCGCCAGGGCCCATTGACTGGCCTAATCTGTCGCTATTGTCGTCATATTCAAAGGACAAATTTCCAATGTGCATGAGGGCTGCCAGAATGTCAAAAATACCGGTGCGCTCGGCTGGTGTAAAGCCCACAATATCCATAGCATCATTCACTCGTTGGAACATGTCCGAATCCTTGACACCATCTCGACGTTGATAGCACTCGCTCTGGTTTAAATATCGATAGTGCAAAAATTGACGTGTAGCGTCCGTCACTTCACCATAGTCTCCAGGAGGCATACTATAACCGTTAGATGGATCTAAAAACCATCGTTTTCTTGCTGCTGCATCTGCTCCAATTGCCATTTCATAAAAAATATGGTAATTTCTCTCACCCTTTGACTGTGACACGAGTCGTACTTTTTCAAGCAAATACGTCTGTATACTAGCACCTGTAAGTCGACCTCCACTTGTAAAATGCAGCTTAATAAACTTGCCAAATCGACTGGAATTGTCATTGCGTAGCGTCCGTGCATTGCCAAATGATTCAAGTAAAATATTAGTCTGCAAAACTTTAGCAGCAATTCCTCCCGAATTTTTACCAGCAATGAATGCTCCTAAATTAGTTGCACCTGCTTGTGCAAGATATTCCATGAGAAATTTCGTACTTTCCGTCTTGCCACTTCCACTTTCTCCACTCACAAGAACACTTTGATCACTCATAACTCCATTACGACCCAGCATCATGGCTTTATAAGCTTCTCCAGCTACTTGATAGATATGAGGAGGCATCATTTCATTTTCTTTTGTTTTTTTTTACCTTTTAAACTTGAATTTCGAGCTTCAAATGAGAGTAAATAGTCCGTCATTGTGTCTTTACTGTAAACATTTGGAATCTTTTGAAATGGGTTCACAGCCAGTAAAATAGCACCTGTATTTGTATAAATTTTGTGCTTGTTAAAACGTGTTTCCAGTGCGGATAAAATCATTGTTTCATCCAATTCAATGAGTTGGGTTAGGTCATCGACATCAAAGTGTTGACTCTGTCCGGTTGGTAAAAGTCTCATATCGGGTACATCTTGTGTAACCGCATTGCCACTACGCTCAATGATACTACCATCATCCAATTGAATCATGATTACGTCAACCGATACATTCATAGGGTTCTTGTAACACTTTAGAACTCGACCACGTTGCCATTTCTGGGGTCTTATTTGCACTTCGACCTCCACCCCAATCTCCATGGAATAAAATTCGATTATTTCGTACTACGGGAGAGAGAAAGACAAGGAAATATATATATCTGTGTTTTTTTCAATCAATTAGTACGTTCTTGGTGCTTGGTTTCTTGCCCTCTGTCGTTCGCAATTATGGCGTAGTTTACAACCCCAAGAACTTTCCCTAGTACAGACGAGACACTACAAAATATCACAGCTCCGAGGGCAGTAACTATGGAAAAAACCTCTTATACTTGGACGTAAAGTCGTCTTTTCATAAGAATATTTTTACCTTTTGGGCGTAAAAAAGGGTCGCAAAGTGAAAAAACCTAGTGACCATACTTTAGGCAAGAGTGAAAAGGTACTGTTTATGCAAGAGACTAGGCGGTGTACTGAAAATCGAACTGTGCCTACGCGTCCTTGGCGGAGACGGGAATTTCAAGTAAAAAATTAATCCCTACTCCATACATATTTATAAAGAGTTTTAGAATAGAGGAACTACAGCTTTTATATATAAATCTGCTATTATGTGTTGCTGACATATACTGAATATGGTCTTTGTTTACATTGTAAATTGCTTTAAATGGTGTCACGTATGTCGACAGACACAGCTACTTTGTACTTGCGACATACTTTCTAGTATTGTCGTATACATGTAGTCTTAAAATCCAGACATGAAATTGCTTGACATGAAAAGTGCAACGGAGCCCGTCGTTTATATGTGATTTACTAAAAAGTTGCGATTTTACAACATGGCTACACAAATGAAATGGTGCAAAATGGATGTAAAGGTCGTCGATTTGAAGAATTGAACGAGTGCATGTCCATAGAGAGCATTGAGAGCATCTACGATTAATCTTGATGATGTTTGTTTTGTTTTCCTGCATTTGGACGCTCACGTTTTTACATGTTTTTTATCCAAGCAACGAGAGGATCGGAGCTCTTTTGCTACGTTACTAACCCACAAAACCACAGTGTCTCCTCTATCCTATTGATATGCCACAGATACTGTTTTCTATGTCTCTTTCATCTTCTTCCCGCGATTTAGAAGCTCTTTCTTACGCGGTACTAATCGTAGCTCTCGGACTGTCGTCAAGAAGGCAAAGAGCAGAGAACCCATTGTCTCGTGCGTGAGTACTCGGACATCGCTGGCATGCCGACACGGATGCTCAACGCCGGTTGTTACGCTATCTGGCCATGAACGGGATAAGGTGTTCACGATCACTTGGCCGTCTGCTTGTACTACCTTAGTCACCACAAGAATCATCGAGTGATAATCTATCCGGAATTCTGCCTTACTGCAAGAACAAGAGCAAACAAAAACAATCAGAAACATTGTCCACTCATTATACAAAGTCTTTGTGACAATGTACTTACACAATTTGCAAGAGCACTTGAACACTGTGCAGCTCTGCTGCCGTCATCGGTGCCGGTTGGAGCAAGACACTAGATAAATAGAGGACGAAGTGCCCGATGGAGTCTACAGGCGGTTCGTCCGAGTGAATGGTCCACACCGTACTTTTATTGCGTTGCTCGCGATGGTATTTCTGAATGAGGACAAAGAGGAACGTTGGAAACGGTCGGTGTGTTTTCGACTCAAACTCTGCTTCTACTGCGCAGCAAAATGGCCCAATCCAAGACATCGTTGGCAAGACAAAGACACACACAAGTGAGTATATCGTATAGTCATCACATCGAAACAACAATTACAAAAAAAACAAAATTGCTGCAGCCAACCTGCATCGTTGATATCTGCAAGTGTAGGCGCTGATAGCGCTCCCAAAACAGCCATGTCTTTCTGGACACGATCACAGATCTCTTGCATCGCTGTCTTGAGCTGTGCAAATGTTACCACATACTGTCGAGCCAGCCATTGAAAGTGAAACGCCTTTCGTCTCACTTGGTCCTCAAGATTCAGCAATTCCATCCCAACTAAACTATTGCGACGACGATTGGCAAGAAACTCAAAGTGCGACGGATCATCTTCCAGTCTCGTCACTCCTTGAAAGCGATACCTCATCACATCCGTTGAAAGTGTGCGAAAAGTTTTATCCACGGCTTCATATCTCGATCCTAATTGGTCAGCAATTGCTCTCAATCTATTAACATCCAACGAGCTAAAACGCGCTCCTTTGCGGGCTCCACACATCATCAGAATCTAAAGTACATTCCATAGGTTAGTGTTTCAATGTCTACCTGTATAAATTTTTACAAGTGCGTACATCATTTAGCACATGAAGATAAATTCTTTCAGTGGCACTGCTGAGGTTTAATGCTTCACTCTCTTTAGAGGTTGGTTTATGGTACCGTAATCCGTCAATAAAACGCAACATCTGGGTTGGTGGCTTGACATTATACGCTGACTCATCAAAATTCTGATATAACATACCATATGCGACATTTTTGAGATCAAATATCATATGAAGTCAGTTCAATCAAATAATTACAATTGACAATAATTCCGTACCTCAAAAATTGGTTTTTTTATCACTTTACGTAGTGCCAAATCCGGTAGCACGAAGCGGCCGCTGCCTGTACTTGATACCCCCGACAACTGAAAGACAGAAATTGGCCGTGGTATTGGAAAGCTCACGTTGATATCGTCGGCCCCGAGCGCCGGCGGCTCGACATGCGGGCGCGCCATCGTCCCAGGGCTGGCAAATGAAGTTCTATCGTCCAGTTTTGTATCTAGTTTGTACGCTGCGTCTTATAATTGGTGGCTTTAGATAGGGCTATAAATGAAATTGATTGGATGATATCTAGTCTTTACCGACACTTGTTTTGTCCAATCCAGAACGACAACTCTAATTCTAGCTTTATAATACAGTTGCCAATTCAATAATGGCGAGAAAAACATTAATCATCGGAGGCGGCGTGACAGGTGCGACGTTAGCGCGACTGCTTCATGAAGCCAAATTGGAAGCTCGGTACACACCAAATGTGATTGTATGGGATCGTAACAGCATTCTTGGTGGGCGAGTTATGGCCAGGTGAGGTCATAAAACTTGATGGAATATGATAGATGCATGTTGACGGATCTGATGACGTTTAGATCATTTGAGAAGCAACGAGACGCTTATGTGGATATGGGGGCACAGTATTGGACTCCACAGTCGAATAGCAATGAAGACATTCGTCAAAAACTGACTCAAAGTGGCCATTTGGTGTCTTTTGCTGAAAATGAGATCAATCAGGATCCATATCAAGGAAGTGTCAAGAGTCACTTGGTTTGCCCTAACAAGAAAGGATTTCGATCAATGGTGGAGAATTTGCTAGAGCGTAAGTGGTAGAGATACCGTAAAAACTGATAGATTTGTTGTAGTTGACGCTCGTTTCGTGTGTGTGTGGCATGATTCAGAGACGGAGACGAGACTATCGACGCACTTGGAGAGTTTTAAAGTGATTGATGAAGATCACATTCAAGTGACGACAAGCAAAGGCAAAGAGGAAATTGTAAACGAGTTGGTATTGACGTGTCCCATTCCGAATGTAAAATTTTGTACTATAGTTCTCTCGGGCCATTTGGGATGCTCAATGATGTGGTGTGTATGTAAACAGGTTCTGTCAATACTCAAGAAAAGCACGACATTTCGCGTTGCACCAAACTTGATGCATGCATTGGAAAGTGTGGAGTACTCGCAGCGCTTTGCTGCAGCCTACATCTTCGACGATACCGCGACTTTGGCAGTGCAAGAGTTGGGATGGACTGCCAAGTTCGTCCCCCGTGACGAAAGCGACATCATCCGTTTTGTGTGCTGGGACCACCTCAAGAAGAAGGCAGGTGACCATTCGTCGCCTACTTTAATTGTGCACACGTCGGTGTCCTTTGGGACCACGTTCATGGACGACACTCGTCCCAACGATGAGATTCTTGCTATCATCACCAAGTCATTGCGAAAGCTGTTACCTTCACTCCCTACTGAGTACGACGCACGTCTGCATCGTTGGCGGTACGTCGATTGTTCTATGAATATTCATGTAACATGCTGTTAATGTGATGAAATTCTGTTTGGTTCACGCTCAGAATTTCTCAAGTGACTGAGCCGTACCACAATCCAAGCATGACCGAGGATGAGGAGGACCCTTTGCCTGCTCTTTTTCTCAACTTGAAGCCACGCATCATCGTGGCTGGTGACAGTTTTCTTGGTTCAAAGCTTGACAATTGCCTCATATCTGCTAAAGTTGCTGCAAATCTTCTTCAAGAAAAAGACAGCAGTTTACTGTAATAAAATGAAAGTCACAAAATATAGTTGAAGATTTTACTGCTGAAATTCTCATAAAAAAGGGACAAGATCTTTGTCGTTCTTTTGTGAGATAATTACTTTGTGGGGGTACACGAGGGGTACGCAAAGGGTACACAAAGTAGCCTTTTACCACATTTTCCGACAGAACACAATACCCGCTCGTCCTGGCAACGACGATGGATCTTCCAGAGCTGAAAGGTACGCTTGATGTCAATGCTAGCACTTGATGTAGAGGTAACACTAACGCTGTAATTGCCACGTTTTGAACAGGGTATTTACGCAAGAAATCACGTCACAATCGATGGCAACGGCGCTATTTCGAAGCCACTACACACTATTTAACGTATTACAAGGTAAAACCGTATTTATTATTGAATAAAACGCGCCATATATACTATTTATTGCTACTTCATTGTGACTCTATTATTTACTTGTCCATAGAGTCGGGAGAGTGAAAAACTGCTGGCGTGCATTGATCTGTGGCGGACGCAGACCATCGACTTTATTCCGTTGGACGCTGACAAGCTCGAGTTCTCTATCTCCATTGGCGACCAATCATATTTACTCAAGGCAGACAGTCAGGAAGACGCCACACGATGGGTCGAGGGGCTCCAAGCAAGACAGCATCGACCCGAAGGCACGCCCTCTGAGGTTTTTAGTCTACGAAGTGAGCATATAGACGCGGAGAGCGACGCGTCTTCTAGCGAGTATGGTGGCCGACGTCCTAGAGGCGCATCGTCGGACAATGGCTCTATCTCGGGCAGTTGTCGCTCATCCATCTCCTATGCTGAAGTACAGAACCCAGTGGTCCCGAACGCCAATGTGATCGCCAGACAGTCCTTGTCACATGCTGATGCACCGAATCCAGTGATTCCGAACGCCAATACGATCGCTCGTGCATCTTTTTCGCACGCGGATGCTAGCAATTTTGTTACTTCGAGTGCTACGGCTAGTACTGCTGCAACAGGATTAAAGTATCCGATGGTGAATACGAACCAACAAGTCACGCGGTCTTTGGTAGCAACGACTGCTGGAAAGACTGAGAATGACGAGTATCCTGTTACCGCACAGTGCTGTGCGCCATGCTTGATCATGTAAAATGTGACGATAGCAACAGGTTCTATTTTCTTTTGACGGTGATGCAGGTGGGAAGAAGTTGCTTTAAAAGTCATTGTCAGGACGTCGTTTGGGCCTAATTGCTCTATTCCTGTCTGTAGCTGCCTTTTTAGTGACTATTCTAGGCATCAGATGCTGCTACTTAATTATACCGAATACACTTTAAATTTAAAGTTGTTTTAATCAATTAATTCTTAGGCTTTACTCCACACGACGTTTACATAATTGTCGAAAACGGTGATCTTGTCAAAAATGTCAAATTTAAGCCACCCACCCGACGCAGTCATGGCGCATTCCGACGGTACGTTCCTGTGCTCCTAATTCCTTCCTTTGGCGTCCCACCGTCATCACACTTATTTCCTGTCTTCTTTTCTTACCTCTCATGTCATTTATGGCTAAAGAAGAACGCAAGAAGCGCAGCATTAACGAGATGTTTGGCGACGAAGACTCGGACGACTCTGGCGATGAACAAATCGCTCGCAGTACGTACAATATCATTGTATATGACATAGTAGAGACTAATGTATTGATTGCTGCTGAGACTTTATTGTTTGACCTATTTCCTTTTGGTGTTATGTAATTTTTGACAGCTACGACGGTCCCTACAGCTGATGCGTCAGGGTATTATTGACGTGTATTTTTGACATGTCTTTATTGACATGTTGTTGTCAAATAGTACTATCATTACTTATTACTATTACTATTTTTACCTGTTGTAGACTATTTGGCTCTGACTCGGAGAGTGACGATGAGGAGAAGAAATCAGTCAAACGTCCCGTGCTGCCGCCTGTAAAACGTGTCAAAAATTCGTTTAATAATGACGACGGTCAAAAACAGCTTGATCAAAGAGACGAGTATGATTCTGGAGACGATGCAGTTGCTACTAAAGATGACGACGATTTTATTGACCGAGACGACGATCTAGCAGATGTACTTGGCGAGTACGCTGAAGATCGACAACATTTTGACGATGAACGTCCAATTGATGAACCGAGCACTATGCAGGAGCAAAAGGACGATTTTTTTGACAGGACATTGAATTCCCTTAAAACGGGACGCTCTCGTGCTAAGATCAACTTGTCGCCACAGGAAATGGAACAGATTACCCAAGAAGTACTTTACCGAATGGATAAAGCTTATGCAGATGATTTGGCGAGTATTGCTCAACGTCGTCCAGCACTAGAAAAGATCAAGTTTATGGAAAATGCACTCCATGTCTTGCGCAAGATACAGTTTCAACCGATGTTGTTGGATTTTGACCTGCTCACGGTACGTGTATGCTTATTTTGAGACGGCTAGCATGATAGGAATGTAGTATCTGACTCTTTGGGCATTGGAGCAGATAGTGAAGAAATGGATCCAGCCTTTGGAGGATAGCACGCTACCTAACGTCGGTGTACGTACCAAGATGCTTGAGATGGTCAGCAAAATGCCAGGTGTGTTATGTACATTTCGTTTACGTCAGCAAGTGGAGCTTGCAGCGCTGACAATGTGAGCGTTTTATTCATGCAGTTTTTAAGGAGCATTTGAAGCGCAGTGGACTTGGAAAAGTTGTGATGATGTTGATGAAACACCCGCGAGAGGTAAGAGGGGAAGATTTGCGTTGCAAAGATTTGTCTTGAAGATTAATGGTGTTTGTATGGATGCGGTAGACAATTGAGAACAAGGAGCTGTGCCGCAGTCTGGTGGAACGTTGGAGTCGTGCAGTCTTCAACAAGACGCTGGATTTCTCAAAGCTGGCTGAATTAGAAGCTGAAAAGGCTGACAGTGAAGTTTATCGCCGTCGTGAGCGCGCGTAAGAAGTTGCTTAGTTTGTAATAATACTGCACAATTCTCAATTACTGACGCGTCAACTGTGTCACAGGCGTCGACAAAAGTCGAAGAACAAAGCACACGCATCTGATCGCAGTGGCAATGTGTTCAGTGTTCGCAATGCCGATCATGATGTAAAGATCGAGGCATCAGAGCGTGCAGAGCTGCCTCAACAGCTGCACATTGATTTCTTGCTTCGCCCTCAGTCCAAGGTCGACATGAATGCCGTGCAGTCCAAGAAGGCGGATCCAGATTCACGCAAGGCTCGCTTGACCAAGCGGATGCAGGAAATTGCTAGGCCTGGAAGGAAGACTAAACGGGCTACGGGTGTAAGTATCGAGGGTAGATAAGCTGGTCAGCATCAGTGAGCTCGGCCAACACATGCAGCACGGGCTTCGAGGCACTTTTGATCCTGGAAGAGGTACTTGTCGGTAGCCCTCGACTGTTTTTGCATGTTGCATGCACGTGAATATTTTTTCTTTTTCTATCATTGATATTAACTCGTGTTTACCGTCAAGTTCTTGAGCAAGCATCGATGATGACATTGAAAAACGATTTTCACATGAAATTACCAGCGTAGAGGTCAGAGCATACGAATCAACATGGTGAACAGTCAAATGCGCCAGTATCAGAATGCAGATTGCTAAACTGCGGGATACTTGAAGAAGTACAAAGTGACAAAGCAAACTTTGAAACAAGAAACGTCTATCAAGAATAACGCTACGTAGAGCACAATACATCACCGTGGAGGTAGCCCACATGCTTGCCTCCCCATGTTAAAGTCACATCAAATGGAATTGGCCTAGCATCGCAAAGCACAGGCGCCGCATGCTCCAACAAGTCAGACTCTTTAAGGCACAATACGCCTTGACCACCGTGGCCCTTCTCGGCTTCAATGCTGATCGCAACGTGCACTCCTCCGTTTACTGGCTTAATAATGGCCGAGTGTGTCACGCCATTGGACATTGCCTTCTTCCATGCTACCGTGCGAAAGTTAGTGTAAGCCAACTGAGATTCCTCATCGTCGTCTACACGAGCGCTGGACTGAAAGCCGTTCTGCACCAAATGCGCGACCTCGTACACTTTACGCTGAAGAGCATAGACATCCTCTGATGGTAGAGGAAAGATGGTCGAGATGCTCACGGGTTCCACAGGTATAAGCTCAAGTTGAGAAGCTGCGAGAATGGAGAGGCGGTCGTTGGCCATAGCCAAAGGCTGTACTCCACCTGGCTCAGTTGTGAAATCTGAGTACTTGCTAGGTGGTGGTGTCCTCGAGCTCGTACTACTGGTACCAGAGCACAGTCGACTCTTCCGCAGTACACGCTCGACCACTTGAGCTATAGACGACATTCGTCGGTTCGTCAATATCTGAGCACTTCGCCTAGAAGACTCACCGCTGTTGTTTGTGCTCGTTGAATTGACTGCACCACGACTATTCGGCCTACCATGTACTCGGGTACTTGAACGATTTGATCCGAGGCTGCGCCAACGATGCCCGTTGGAGTGCAAACAGGAACTGTGACGTTCCTCATACGTCCAGATATTCGCATCCAGCTTTACCAATTTGATCTTAAATTCGCGCACGTCCTTTTTGTCGCGTAAACCATGATTGCCTGCCCGTAAATCTGCAACTGCAGCTTCATCCATGTTATACGAAAAGTAACGATCGATTTCGAGCTCGTAGATGCTGCAGACAGGCTTGTGAGTAGACGTGATAATATTCTCACAAGACCAATAGCCTACATTACGGATCCGCTGCTTTGTATCACAGAGAGAGTGTGCCAGGATGCGGTCTTTGTACGCTGGCGGAGAATCGCCCACAAACGTTTCCTCGTCAGCCTCACAAAACAGTTCCTTGCATGAAGCCTCGCCGACCATAGAGAAGGAAGCAGCCACGCCAATCTTACGCGGAAAAGATGGCAGAAAATGGATAGGAGGCTCTTCAAACCCCGTAAAAATTTCCTTCGCGTCGATCGATGCACGCAGCTCGTCGTAACGAAGGACTTCAAGCCACTTGCGAGCCGTGTTTTCGGAGACAAGATCCGATTTCGCGATAAGATCCCGGATCTTCTTCTGGCTTCGTGGTGGAAAGTGGCCACCCAATGCCAGATGATCAGGTGCACGGGGCTTGCTAGCTAAACTAGATAAGCTTTTGCTACCTTTAAAAGCGTTTGTCGGTAGTTGATTGTCCAAGAAAGAGACCCAATTGGTCGGTCTATGTGTCTTGTATTCATCAACTTCTTGAGCATTTTCGTGGATGGTTATCGCCAAACTGTTTGAATCTCGCTCGTCCAAGAATGGTGTTTGCAAACTCGGTCGCCGTGGAGAGAAATTTGGCGACTTCAGCACCGTAAATGAAACGTCGTCTTCACGAAAAGTGTAGGCTTCTTCATAAGTAACGTCGCCGCTTGCTGACGACGAAGCTCCGGTACTGCTTCGCTGAAAACTCCGTCCACATTCCTGGCGGCTTTCTTCCATATTCAAGCCGTCAAGCTGGGCATTGGATTTCTTCATTGTAGTTGAGATCTTCAATTTGCGCATTGCCCTAATCTGTGCATCAATCGCGGTATCCGTCGCTATCTTTAAAGACGCAGCTTTATACGCTTGCTCAATTGCTGCAGTGAGTGTAATGGTCGACATATCGACATCGTAATTCAAATTTCCAGAAATTATCGTATGATGGTACAAATTCGGAAAGTCCACTGCCGCACGGTCTGCGTCCATGCCGAACGAGTGGATGAGGCTCGATGCGACTGCATGCTTCTCAGCCACATTGCCTACCACAGGTTGACGAAGTCGCTGCGACATGTTGGTGAGTGAAGTGCTGAGATTGCACGAAACAAATGCGATGGACGCATCAAAGTACCGAATGGGAATGCCCACAACCTCGTTAAATGTCTTTCGCTGAGCCCAGATTCGTCCATCCACAGCGTCAAGCTTCACGTTGCCGCTAGCGTCATCAGCATTATTTACAAAAACGATTTGACATACCGACGCCTGTATAAATCCACGACAAAAAACAGTCGTGTCAGTATCAACACAACCGATAATGTATTTGGCACCAAAGACTAAAAAGAGTCACTTACATCTTGAACATGACCTCGCACAGCCGTTCCTGCAATCGATGTAATGGATCGGTAGGCAGTAGGATAATTCACCTGAAGGAGGTATCCTCGAATCACCTGCTCAATCGCTTGCACTTCCACGCAGTGTTGGAGAGAAAAAACATACAGATCTTTTCCTGCCGGGATCCAGTCCTCCAAATTGGTTGGACACGAGGTCCAATTCATATCGAAAGTGGTGACAAAGATGGTCGCTGTGCCCATGTGTTGTCGCTCCTGGTCCCGCAATTGTGCCAATTGTCGCAACAACTCTTCCGACAGCTTGCTGTTCTTCGTGTGCGAGCTGCTCTTGCTCACCCACGGCTCCCGTACATGACGCACTACCCAAACATGAAACTTGCCATAAATGACCGCGTTAACAAAGCCCTGAAGTGGCACAATGGTTGCATGCAAAAAGTTCAGTGCAAATGACTTCTTGCCTGTGGCAATAGCATAGGCACGATCGACCACGGCCGGTAACCAGCACAAGATGAAGCTTGTAATGTAGACCGTGAGGTTTTGCACAACAGCATAATAGGCGTCATTAGCATCATCATTTTCAAATGTCTTGAGCCTCTTTTTAATATTTATCTTGACCAACAAGAGAAAAACAGTCATAGAGACGCCACCTGCAACGACCCAAAAGTAAAGTGTCCCAGCCATCCACCAAAGTTTTTCAGATCTGTTGTTTTTTACAACGACCCAACACCACAGCCCTGCATCTCCAAATTTGTCAAAAATGAGGCAAATGGTGGGAATGCCAAGAGCAAAGAGCATTGTACCACCAATATACCATTTAATTTTTTTCATGAGCATTTGTTGATCTTCACCCATACATACCCAACGGTATAAATTAAGAGCCATTATAAAATTCCAAGCAATTGGGGCTCCATCTCCAAAAGTGACGACTAAAATCAACGTTATGTCAAAATAAAAACGATAAAACAATAATAAAAACAATTATAACCGTGTGAGATGTCAATTCTTTTTTTTTGACCACATGTTGACGTCATCAATTGAGACCATCGTACCAAAGGCTTGAAGCTTACAAACGGATGTCACGGCTTCTCCTGCATCTTGATCAAATGTCTCAGTTGGTAGGACACCAAATGCACGTCCTATAGCACCAAATAGATCCTGTCAAAAGTGATTGTCAATACCAACCCATAATTGTTAATACAAATGATTGCGTCAACATAATGATATAACAGGTAGAGAGAGAGAGAGAGGGAAGGGGAGGGAGGACACCCTTATATACCGTACCAAACAGGCAATAATATGTATCAATTCCTTTGTAACATCGAGATAATGCGATTTGGCTGTAAATCGACGTGCATACCAATAACGACCAATAATGTAAAAGGACCCAATGATCGAAAGCACAGATGAAACAGCTGATGAAACTGTTAGAATATTTAAATAGGGATCGTGTGTAGTCACTTCGAGTGACTCCATTGATAATTTACTACACACGTGTGACTAGGATGATCAATTACAGAGTGATAGCATAAGAAGAAGAAGAAGCTTTGAGCAGGAAGTACAGTAAAGGGTGAATGTACGTTGTTTGTTTACAGATTGTATTTATAAAGTATATTTGTTCTGATGAGGTTAGATGTATACACATACGATTATTTCAGTATTATATATTGCAGGTTATTAAGACTTACAAAACAGCTGCTGGGATAGTACTTTATTCAACGATGTCTGTGTGAAAGGAGTGGGACCAATAAACTGATACCGCCCCGACTCTGGACCGATAGTAGTACTGCAAGTACTGCTTCTATTATTGCGATTACTACTTTTGTAGTGTATGTAATAATTTGCTCGAAAATCGTATGGGAAGACGACCGTTACTTGCGTAAAATAAACATGTGGCTGTGGAAGAGCCACAATCTGCTTAAACATGTGCTAAGAAAGCTTCAAGCTGGACTTTACAGATCAGTCTCCGTGCACCAAATCGATACCATTTGGTCCCTCGAATTTAATGAAAAGGATTCGAAAAGTCTTTACGTCTGACAAGCAAAAACATGATACTTGTTTATACTTGTTTCTAATTGTTCATGATTGTTCATACTAGTTCATACTAGTTCATACTTGTTTATACTTGTTCATACTTGTTCATACTTATTAATCAGTATAATTAGTTAAAGGAATAATACCCACCATGGAACTCATTGAGCATGGAAATCGGAGTATACATTTCATACCTAATGATATTAAATGGATCCCTCATTCTTCACGTTTTGTAGCCATGGGTATTACTCCAAATGGTACCGGTGCATTAACCATCTACAGTCTTCATCAACGTGAATTACAGACACTTGCGGTGTATGAGAAGCTACATGGTATTAAATGTGGAACCTTTGGAGCAACGGCATTAAATCACCGACATTTGGCAACAGGTGACTACAAAGGCGTCATGAATATATGGTACTATTTTATGATAAAAATTAGTATTAAAAAAGCCTAAAAGTGAGCTTAAATACAAGTAGTAAAATTGTAGTAATATTTTTGTTATGACAGGGATGTGGAAGTAGCAGATGTGCCGCTATACTCGGCCCAAGCTCACAAGTCCATTGTAAATGCTATTGACGGCTGTGGTGGTCAAAATAGTGGCAATGGAACACCTGAAATTGTCACGTGTGGTCAAGACGGCTGCGTCCGTGTATGGGACGTACGTGTAGCCGAACCAGTAGTGACGCTGGCTTTTAAGGAGCAAGACATAGGACATGACTGCTGGACTGTGTGCGTTGGTAACTCGTACAACAATTCAGAGCGTTGTATTGTGAGTGGCTATGAAAATGGAGATGTGAAACTATTTGACTTACGTACAAACTCGGTCCGATGGGAGACCAACTGCCAGAACGGCGTCGTTCATGTGCAATTCGACCAGAAAAATAGCGAGATGAATAAGCTGCTGGTCACCACACTCGATTCCAAGTTCCGTGTTTACGACCTGCAGACGTTGCATCCAGAAAAAGGGTTTACTTGCATAACGGAAAAGGCACATAGGTCTATTATCTGGCAGGGACACTTCTTACCGCAGAATCGAGACTTGTTCATGACTAGCGGAGGTAATGGCGGCTTGAACTTGTACAAATAGTACGTTGCTGCTGCATAGGTTACAGCAGATTTTGTGTTAACAATGAGATGACTCGGTATCTGTGTACTTTCAGCCACCACCCACTTTCCAGAACGGCCAAGGACGCTGATGGAAGATTGTACGGTGTCTGTGGCACAGTTGAGCTACTTAACTCGCGAGTGCTGTCTACCCAGCCGATTGTCAGCATGGACTGGAGGTATGCAGCTCTGTAGATATGGCGTAAGAGTCGTTTCGCTGCTAATTGAATTGATTGTGTACAGTCCGGATTGCGAGGGCTTTTGTGCCTTGGCGTGCTTGGACAAAACAGTTCGTGTCTATATTGTGACGGATACGAACAAGTTGTAGTCTTCTTTTGACCTACAACGTGTATCAATCGCCCGATCGCTCGTTCTGCATTTCTTAAGGAGAAAAGAAGCGCTGCCTCATGAAACTGTTACAAGCTCAGTCGGGTTAATGCTCGTGTGTTAAGGTAAGCGGTTATAGGCCAAAGACACGACTTCTTCCTCAGAGATGCCAGATGTGTCAGCTTCTTTACTAAAGATACGTAAAATGAGTCATTGTAGGCTTTGCTCTCCTTGGCCACACTGTACTGCAGTTTGTGAATGCTAAAGTTTTTGTATCTTGTAGTTGTGCTGCTTTCTACGTATGTTGGTCGTCCATTGCGGCGAGAAATTGCTTGAAGAAGAGACTTCGTCATGTGGATAGTCGGAATCATGTGCTTGCAAGTGTCGAGAGAGCATTGCAGTTGGACACAATGATGTGATACTTGTTTGTGCGATCGGATTCTTTTGGCTGTTTGAGGTCATGGAACCGACAAAGTAGCCGTATGCTAGTATTCGACAATGAAGTCTCTCCTCCTTGAGTTCATCCTAGAGTTCGTACCGCAAGTGCTCCACCTTGTGGCAAGCAGCTTCAAAAGCCGTTTGTTCTTCTGTGAGACGTCATGTACGAACTTTGTGCTAACTGCTGCCTTTTTTCCATTGCAGCAACTATTTCGTTTTCGAGCGTAATGATCAGACGAATCTTGTCCTTATATAATGACATCATTGTAGTAGTTCTTGATCTGGTTGAAGCACTTACTCAAATTCTTCACCGGTCGTTAAAGTGCAAGTTCTTGCGCTCTTTTTTCTCAACGCAGTATTCCTGTGTGATCATGACCTTCACTTCGCCCATGATCTTCACCTTGCCCATGATTTAATCTTGAAACCCTAGATTTCATTCTTGGCATCTTATAGAACGCTTCAGCGGCTCAAATGTCAAGTACGGCCTTTCAATTTTGATTAGATGCTTCACTTTATTCAAGTCTTTCACGTACCCGTTCGTGCTGCATGTACTTGCAATACAGGAGCAGCTTTACATGAGCATTTGCTAAAAAGATATCGGTACATGTATCGAGTCGTGCTCCACTAGGAAGCAAGAATAACTCCATTCAGGACCCTTTTTGCTCAGCTTCCCTCTTTTACCTGTTTGAAAGCTTATGGTTGTTAGCTAAGACGTTGCAAGGCGAGTGCCCGTATAAACGCTGACGAGCATGAAGAAAAGCAGCCCGGGGACCCGGCCAAAGGAGCTCAAATCATCGTCGATGTCCTGACCAAGAGCGGTGGTTGCGCTGGCAAGACAATCCCAGTCGCATGCTCTTGGGCAAAGACGCGGTGGAATCGGAGATATGCCGTGTTGCAAGCATACCGTCGCGAATTCGATAATTGGGCTGCACTGGTAGCCTCGATGGACCATGACGACATTTTCTACAATGCGAAATGGGCGCTGGAGATGCTGCGTAGACTTTATCTAAAGACGAGTGGATAAACTAAACAAGTTTGTGGATCCGAAAAAATGTTTTGTTATTTCTGATCTTGCCAACCCTTTCCAATCTACAAGCTATCGACATCTTCGTTGCTGCTTCAATTTAAGCACTTGTAGTTGTACTGTTCTCTTCTGCGACGGAGCATTTCGGCAGAACGCCTTTGGCGGTGAGATCCTCAATAATCGCTTGCGATGGAATAGCTCCATTTAAGCAATCGCCGCAGTGATGCATCGCAATGACCTTATTGTCTCTCGTGGCAAGAATCGGCGACCCTGACGACCCTTCTTGCGTGTCCACGTAGTAACCCACGTCGTTTTTACGACATCCCGTGACGGTGAGAGACTCGACACGACCAGGTTGACCATTATGTAGCCACGCGATGCGTTTGCCATACCCCAACGGATGTTGCGGGATGTAGATGTTTTCTTCAAGGACAGCTCCTGAGCCACGGAGCTGCAGATAGCCACCCGTCTTCTCATACAAGCCAGCATAATCTGCAACACTATTGTTGATATCAAGTCGAACCACCGCATAGTCTAACGCTTCTGACACAGCTACAAGTGTTGTAGACGTCACGCCAACTGACCCTGGACATCCACCCCGAGTATCACAATCCTCGCTATCTCCACAACTGGTTGCTTGAGCGAAAAACTCCACCTTTGTATTGATCGCGTCTTCTGTACTGCCGATACAGTGCTGGTTCGTGATCAAGTGGCCGTCGCAACCAAGCAGCCAGCCGGTGCAGTATGCAATTAACATGCCATTCTCTTTGATGATTGAAAGTCGAGCCACGGAGTGCGACTTGGCCAACATGACTGCTCCTTCCGCACTGTTCGTAGCACTGGGCGCACAAGCAGCTTCGACAGATTCGTCTGCGCCACAGACACTTTCCTTATTTACGCTGTCGTCGTCGTCGTCGGTGTCTGTCATGTTGGCACGGTTGGTCAAAGGCACTTTGACAGCTACTTGCCGATGCTGAGCCTCATCTACCAGCTCTTTCGGAGAAAAGAGCAGGCCATCAACGGCAAAGCCTCGACACGAAGTCGAATTGGTCGTGTCCGGAACTGATGACTTGAAAAGCTCCAGCTTCACTCCATCTCCCGATATCGCAGTAGAGTAAAACGTTCCCGTTGCGTTCTTCCCCGCTAGTATTGCCACCGGTGGTGTCGTAATCGGATCATTAGACGCTCTCAATACCAGTACGTCGGTTTCTGGTAGATTGAATTGCGTGAAATGCAGTAGGTAGATGCCCTTCCCGAGCCCAGGATCGAGCTTGAGGAGATAAGAAGGTTCTTTTCCAATCGCTATTGGCAGTGTTGAGTAGTTGGAAAACTTGCACCCGGCACCGATAAGGATTTCCACTTGTTGACCTGTTGTCTGTGCGACGACATCAACAGTTGCAACAGCAGCTAGAAGGAGTGCAAAAGCCCACTGCATCTTGAGAAAATGGAAGGAAGCAAATTTGAGAGTGTCGTGATGCTGTTTGGTTGTTTTACCATTTCGTTGTTGATCATTACGAAGTGATTGAAGGGAGAAGCTTTTTGTGTTTCAAGACTGAAGTGGTAACTGTTCAAATGGATGGTTTGTTCCTTCTCTTCATCTAGCTAGAAACAATTAGGTAAAGAGCTTCTGCATCATGCACTCGTTAAGATTAATCTATCCGTCTATTTATGATGGATGGCGTTTTGATTGAAGCTTGAGAATATACTAGTGTAAGAAATCTTACTAATTATATATTCGTAAACTATATTTCAAAAGGCAAATGTATTTCTTGATAGAAGTTCCATTGAATCAATTGATTGCAATGCATTTCATCTTTCGACTTCTGTACGAATAATAACGTTGCACATTGTCAGTAAATAAAAGCAAGTAAAGGAGCTGCAAGTATCTCATTCTCTATGAGGTGTGTCGTTAAAAGAGTTACAACTCGGTATGACAAAGTAATTGGTGGCTTAGATTGTATAAATGGGTGAGCACATATGTGCGTACTGTGAAACGTGTCAACAGGTAAAGCCTTCGCCCCATTTGGAGGCGCCTCTGGCCAGCTTTCAGGTTCATCCTGGATGTTGGGAGCTTATAAGTATGAATTCTGTGTTAGGCTTACCGAAGGATTTGCAAACAAACACAAATATGGTGGTCTTTACTGACCGTTTAAAAAGATGGCTTACTTATCGCCTGTGTTGGACTAGATCGATGGTAAAGTTACAGCGCAGTTATTTTTCGATCGAGTGTTTGTGTTTCACCAAAATGACTTTTTGGTGGCAATTGTTTTCGACCGCGATCACGAAAGTTTTGTCAGTCCGTCTTTCAGGTGCGAGGCACCCAATTGGACATGTCCACTGCGAATCATCCGCAGACCGATGGTCAAAATGACGCGTAAGTCGCGTTGTTAAGGATCTCCTTCGCAACATTTGTGCTAATACGCCTCGGCGTTTAAGATCTATTCTTCCTGTTGCTGAATCTACGTTCAAAAACTCCGTGTACGACTTTACTGGCTGTACTGAACGGCCACACCCACCCACGCGCTCCTTTAAAGCTACCACTCCGTGGTATAGGGCTTGATGGGGAAAAATTTGCCGATCGCTTGCTGATGTCAGCCCGGCTATGTTAAGAAACAGTAAAGGGACTTTCTTGCGACGCGTCTTAATAGCTTACGACTTGTGCAAGACGCGATGGCTGAGAGCCACGAAAAACAAATGTTACAAGCGGATGCTAAGGTCAGAGGCTGTATCAAGAGGTAGGAGGTCGGATATTACGTACTACTAAATGCTTAAAATGTATTCACTGAAGTAGTGTCTGCTGTGTTTGAGACGAAGTTGCGCCCACGCTTTATTCGTCTCTTTACGATTGAGTCTAAGACGATCCTAGCGTATGCGCTAAATCTATCGCGCAAACTGCGTACACACCCTGTGTTCTATGTTGGTTTGCATAAGCCATTTCGGTATCCGACACACGTGAATGTGGAGGCACTTATGTTTGGGAAGTCGGCTTTGCCGCAGGTTGTAACATCCGTATTTGGACGTCTAGCTGTCCCTCCATTCAAGGATACTTCTGCTCCATCGCATGCAGACATGTCTGCATCACGTCCAGTGTCTCACGGAGACACTTCACTTCGTAAACTAAATAAGCGTAAGCTGTCGCAAAGTTTTTCCACATGAAATAAAAGGTTTCCTGTGGAGACGCTTCTCCGGAAGCGTCGTTATTATGGTCTAAACCAGTATTTGTTGAAGTGGCGTGGGTACTCTGAGTCGTGAAACTAATAAGAGTACGAGATAACCCTTCGACAAGATTACCCATACGCCGATGACATTTTGAACGTTGACCTCGGTGTCATCTCGCGACCAATAGCGTTTCTCACCAGTTATGGTGAGAGCGGGCGAGCTTGCAGCCAAGACCTGCCGTGAATATGCGGCTACAATGATAATCGAGGCACTTGGGTCTGAGTAGTAGACGCATAGCGCGATTTTGGCGACCGCAACTGGACTCGTGCCTTTAGCTTCGCGTAATCATAGCGCATCTTTCGCTCGAGGCGATCGTTTGCCACGTTGGCTCTTGCTCGTAGAGCTCACATGCTGGTCAAGCGTCGTGCATAATGCGCCCAGCGAATAAAGGTATTGCTGTCATCCTCCTCGGTTTCACCCGCGAATAAAAAGATGGGAACATTTTATATGGGAGGAACCGATGCACCACATGCTTGCCTAGTCGGGTTTGCCCTATATTTTTTGCGTGGCAATACATTTCCCGAGATATCTCTGGCGTATAGCCTCTCGCGTTGCAATAATGTCAGGTGTGGTGGTCTCAGGTCCTGTGGTTTCTGCCGACATCGAGTGGCCAGACACTTTCTTTAAACATTCTACCACGGACAATGGTTTAGATTAAATTTCGTTGACCTTGGATTGGAGCCACACCCTTTTATCGGCGCTGAGCTCTGCAATCTGCGTTGCTGTTGCTCATCGCACGGATTCATGACAGTCATCGTTGGCATTATGTTAAGCGCTGAGAGCAGCGTAGCTAGCGTCTTTTGCGATACTACGTTCAGGGAATGAATGGGATGCATGACTAGAGTCATCTTCACACTCAAAGTGGTTAGTCGAATCCCATTGAGTCCCAGGTAGACGGTGTCACTTTCGCAATCAAACGCTTCTTCGATACCTCTTTTCAAGGTGATCCCGAAGAGTCTTGGACTCATTGCCTGGAGGCTCTATGTGTGCTGTGAACAACCGTGAGGTTTAAGTTCGCGAAGCATTACCTCAATGAGAAATGTGTCGAATGATATTCTGTGGGGGCGTCAGTCTAGTGGGGAGAGTGTAACGGGTTACACGGCGGTAGTACATTTACATCCAACGTTACGTCACGGTTGTAAGATATGCGTAATTATATGCAATTATATGCATTGCATATCTTTTACTCTTGTTAAGGAGGTATTGAGCGTGTATGATGATATACGGTATCGGTAATACCGTTCCATATCGGTTAGGACTTGACAACCGATATCGCCGTACTAATAACATTATACACAGATGTTTGGATGACACATCATTGAATAGAGAAGCCTGCATATTATATTTACTATAACGTCTGCTATTATAGTGACGAACCTAGTGTAGGGTACTTAGGGTGGGTTTGTTCTTAAATCTTAATGCACCAATAAAATCAGATCTCATTTTAAGTTGTAGAGATCAGCCTGTATCATCTTGCTTCTTTTGTGCACTTCGTGCGTTGGTTCCTCGCACCTCTAAGCTACTAACTTTAATCTTGCACTCACTCTATGCATTGGTTTTCTGAACCTTTTAAGATTCTTGCTTGATGACTAGAAGTCCCTCCCAAGTTCTTCAAACGAATAGACTTTATTTAGTCCATAGAACGAAGTGTGGGTATCCAATTAATTAATTCCATATAGCTAAGGAGCGTTATGCCAATTCATTAGTTAGAACTATTAGGCTTCTATCCTTTAAAGTCTTTTTCTAACTTGATTATCTACACAGCTCTGTTATACCGGCACTTGTCACAAATAGGTAGCGACAGTGCAGGGACGAACGCCACAACCTCTTTTTTAAACAAATTAATGATCTCACTCCTAAAGAAGGTAACTCAACGGACGCAATGGATCATTAACCGATGGCGTTGCTCCAGTCAAGCTACAAAATCGTCATTAAGGTGTCAACTCATAAAATACAAAAACTGTGGATTAAATAAGTGCGCTCAAAACAATTATCTACATGAACGACAAATGTCCAAACAGTCATGATAATGATGGCACACGATCTCATGGCAAGACATGAGCAAGACCGTAAGCTTGTCGATAGCCGAGCAATTTATCGCTGGATTTTTGCAAGGCATATGACAATGTCGCGCGCATATATCTATATGAGGGTTTTATAATCTGCGAATTCATTCATTACAATGATTCGGAACCTCCTCTGTAATACCACCGCCGAATCTGTAGTGAACAAGATATTATTGTGGTGGAGTGGGTTCTCAAAATTGTATGATGAGACCCCAAACCACTCACTGTGCCGGACTGCCGACTGTCGGAGGAGGTACCCCGATGCCGCGTATAAACCTTCTCTCACCTTGTGTACCCGTCGGCTGGCGGGTTGCACTCTTCGGAGGACTTGGTGACGATGTAGATGTCTGCCTTGAGGGAGGTAGACCTGGGGGGGGCCTCGAGTGGATATGCTTCACTCGGTGGGCCGGTAGGTGGCCACTCGATCGACCTTGTCGAGAGTAGACTTAGAGCCAAATTCTTCAGGGGCACTTGTCGTCCCTGGCCTTTTCCTTCTGTTTCAGGGGTATTAACCACCTGACCTTTACGTTGCTCCCGGACCTTGAGGTGAGGGAGACCGCTTCCGATAGCGGGTCTTGGGGGTGTTGCTACTCGAACGAGCTCACAGGCCAAATATATCCTGGAGCTCTATTCGCCCTTGAACTTCGCTACACGACTGTCTTCGACGGGGGGCCAAAATATATCCCTTCCCGGAACAGTGAGTAACTTAGAACAAGTCCTTCTTGGGTGACGGAGTCGTGCCACGTAGATCGCAAATTGAGTAGTATTTAATATAGTCCTATCCTTTTAACTCCTTTACTCTATCCTTGCCTGAAGCTCTGATTCCTTGCGTCGACTAGTCTGATCCTTGTGTCAACTGGTCAGGAGTCGCTGAACCCCGAGGGGCCGAGGTCGACCAATGAGGGACCCAGGTCAACCAATGAGGGACCCAGGTAAACCAACGAGGGACCCAGATCGACCGATGAGGGACCGGGTCGACCAACGAGGGACTGGGTCGATCGATGAGGGACCGGGTCGACCGACGAGGGACCAGGTCTACCAATGAGGGCCCCAGGTCTACCAATGAGGGACCGGGTCGACCAACGAGGGGCCAGGTCGATCAATGAGCGGCCATGATCAACTCCCTTTGGTACCGGTTAACCGGTACCCT